AGCACCTAAAGGACGATCCCACCATAGGCGCCAAACAAATGAGGGCAATACTAGAAAAAGAGCACAAATGTAAGATTACCTATGACACCGTATGGAAGGGAAGACAAATGGCCTGTGACAAGTTGTTTGGCATCTGGAAACAAAGCTTCCAAATGTTGTTCAATTGGAGGGCAGAGGTACTGCAGCGATCACCTGGAAGTATCATTGAAATTGGCGTAAAACAGGTAGATGGAGAATTGTACTTCCACATATTTTTTTTGTTCATTAAGTCCTTGCATTGAGGGTTTTTTAAAGGGTTGTAGGCCTTGTGTTAGCATAGACTCAACAGCACTTAATGGTAGATGGAATGGACATATGGCTGCTGCTACTGCTATAGATAGTCATAATTGGATGTATCCACTTGCTTTTGGTTTCATAGATGGTGAGACAATAGATAACTGGACTTGATTTATGACTCAGCTGCATAAGGCCATAGGACACCTACCAGTACTTGCTATCTGCACTGATGCATGCAAAGGGCTAGAAAAAGCCGTTAAAGATGTGTTCCCTCAAGCTGAACATAGAGAATGCTTTAGGCATCTAATGCAGAATTTTATTAAAAGATTTGGGGGAGATACATATTCAAAGATGTATCCTGCAGCAAGAACATATAGACCTAGAGTTTTCAAATATTTTTTCAACCAAGTTGTTTCAGCTAACCCTCAAATATTGGAATGGCTTGAAAACCATCACAAATTGTTATGGATGAGAAGTGCCTTCAACCCTAAAATCAAGTGTGATTATGTTACCAACAACCTTGCAGAGAGCTTCAATAATTGGATCAGAGATTGGAAAGACCTACCTATAGTTGAGCTTGCTGACAAGATTAGAGAGATGATAATGACACTGTTTCACAAGAGACGTGCAATTTCAGAGAGGCTTCATGGTAGGATCCTACCAGCAGTACTTCGACAATTGAGAGCAAGGACTAGGGGTTTAGGACACCTAACAGTTGTGAAGGCAGGTCTTTTTGCTGTAGAGATACATGACACAACCAGCACACATAATAGGCATGTTGTGAAGTCACATTTGCATGAATGTACATGTCTTCAGTGGCAGCACACTAGAAAACATTGTGAGCATGCCTTGTGCCTCATAACAGCACAACAAAGTATTGATGTCAGGATGGAAGACTTCGTTCATGATTATTACTCTCTGGAGAGGTTCAAGAATGCTTATAAGAGACTGATAGAGCCTCTTCCAGATAAGACCCAGTAGCCTGATGTTGAGCTTGACTTTGCTGTTAAAGCACCATTAGCTAAAAGACCTGCTGGAAAGCCTAGAAAATTACGAATCAAAGGATGTTTGGAAGGGGGAAAAGGTGGAATGAGCAAAAAAGATACAAAGGATGCTGCCAATCAGGCCGATAAAGATGCAGAATTGGAAGCCCAGGAAGCTGCTATGGGAAAGAGGCAACTGGTTATGGGAAAAAGGAAGTGCAAGGGGTGCGGTGAGTTGGGTCATGGAGAAACTAGCTACAAGTGCAAACTTAATGGGACAAAGAAAAGGTAGCATCTTTTGTTCTTCAATTTATTTATTGACTGATTGCACCATGCTATTTTAAATATTTGTTTATTATTTTCCTCTACAGGAAAAGGAAGCCCAGGGAAAATATTACTAAATATGGGCCAAATGCTAAAATCCCAACAAAAAGGACAAAGAGGCAAGATAAGGAGCCTGAAAATCCTACTGTACAATCTGACCATGCAACTGTGCAAGATGAAAATGCACCTGTGCAAGCTGAAAATGATACAGCTATAGTGCCATTTGTTCAGGAAACAGCTATAGTGCCATTTGTTCAGGAAACTTCAATAGTATTCACTAGCCCCATCAGACCAATCAAGAAAACAATCTTGCAAGAGAGTCTAATTAGGCTAACAAGAGGGTAAACATAGTGATGACAGCCATCTATTCTTCTTGAGAATTACAATGTTCAGTTACTAAATTGATTTATTCCTTTTTTTCAGCCGATTGGCATTCTTGATGGGAGAAGGCACAAAACATAGAGAAGGCACAGAAGTCCAGCCTACTGATACCGATGGGTCGCCCAGCACCACTCAAGGAACACCAAGAAAGAAGAAAACGACAACCAAGAAGTTGGTCCCAAGGAGAATGAAAAATATCTGAGAACCTGTGTCATTTTCAAAACATATGTTTGATGGAGATCTCATGTTTGATGAACATGTGTCCTGTATGAACTTAATTGTATGAGTTAGTGTGGTTTGTGAACCTTTTCCATTTTAAAACATATGTGCTACCAGACTTGTGTGTTTGTGAAACTTAATTATATGTTGAATGCTTTCTTATGAACCATGTGCCATTGGCACAGCTGATACATTTTGGTACCAAGTCTGCCATTGGATAGCTGGTTCATCAAACAAATTGTATGGCTGCATGGCTGCTGATTGATAACACTGCAATGGTCAGCATTGATTTATTCGTTGGGTTATTATCCTTTGGAATTTATTCACGTGGTCCGTGGTCGAAATTTGGATAACATTGCATGGTCATTGATTGATGATCGCAGACTTCCACCACCACATTCCTTCGAGTTGGTGCCATTGTATGTTGCAAATTGTCACCTTCACTTTCAAATTTTCAGTCTTACATTTTTCATCTTAAGGTGCCATTGTATGTTGCAAATTGTATGTTGCTTGGACATGGATTGTTCTTGCAACAACATGTCAAAACCCTGACATTCAGTAAATTATTTCTCCTTGGTGGACTCCAAGTAAGACAGAACTATATTTCCATGTCACTACACACTACTCCCTCTGTCCATCAATGTAGGATATATTTTGATGAAGTCTTCAAAAGGAGGTTACCACCTTTAACTGTTTTCAATAGATTATCAGTTGCTACAAAATACACAAGATCCTTGCCTAATACAACCCAAACAACTAGAGACCTGGACTTGGAGTCAAATACAACTCCACGATACCGCCAACCTCTATCTGAGAGATCAGTGGGTTGTACATAACATTGCAAAAGAATGAGAGAAAATAATTTGTCACTTGAGAACATAACATTTCATTGATTCATTGGCACAAATTGATACATTTTGGTACCAAGTACACAAGATTCATCCACTCCTCACAATTGCATACAAATTGCTAACTAACACTAGTCCACAGACAAGAATCAAATACTTCAAAGAACATTGCTATCTCCCTAAGTCGCTTTACTTGTTCATCATAGTTTGATTCTCCAGAATTTGGCTTGTCTTCGACAATTGGCGCAACTTAGTAGACTCGAAAACAAAGTTGATAATCTAGAGGCACCAATTTTTGGTCAACCAAGTATTGCTCAGATCCTCTTCCCACTCCCAAAATGGACAGCCAAAGACCTTCTCTCTGTCGCCACATGAATGGAAATCAATCAAATTGATTCGGTCATCAAATCACTGCAACAAGAACTACATAAAGAATTTGCACTAACCATTCTCACCGCTCGAGTTGGACAAACATAGAATCGGCGATCGTAGTTCTTCTCTGTCTTCGATGTACTGCACCTTCGTAAACCGACACACACGATCTGGGCAATGAATAAGAGGGATTTCATTGTTTGAAATCCTTGGCTTCGTGGGTATTGTGTACTTGTTCATCCTTGTGGGGCGCTGCCGTGGTGTGGTCCATGGTGGCGTGGAGGCGTTGTCGCCAAGGCCAAGGAGAGCCGGAGCCGCCATGGCGTGCAGGCAGCTGCAGCGAAGCCACAAGCGGGCGGGGGGGAGCGCTGTTGCGGGGATTGGCGGGCGTGGAAGGCGGATCGAGTGGGCGGCCAGGGGGTACCTCGGCGACGGAGGAGAAGAGCCCGAGAGCTCGATCCGTTCGTGGCTCCCTGCTCCGTCCGTCTGGCCCCACCGCGACCGTGAAAGGAAAAGAGAGAAGGAGGGAAGAAGAGGAATAAAAGGCTCTAAATTCCCTCGGATGGCATCCTAGCGGCTGTGTCGCACTTGATAATGACATCTTGACGAAGCCCCGTTGCGGGATGGCATTCCATCGAAGCCCACTTCCCATAATGGTCTCTCACCAAATATCTCTTACGATACGCATTGGCAACTGTCAAGTGGAAGCAACCCCAGTTTGATGAAAGATTTTTTTTTGACAGATATAAAGTTTGAAAAAAGATCATGGACAGCCATGCAGCTGCAGAAAATCAGTGTTGCTACAGTTCTGTGACATGCATGGCTAGCAGCGGCAGCCGCTGCCCGCCCTGTTCGCTTGACCTTATCAGCCGTAAAGTGTTTTTCTTTCACAACACATCAGCATCAGCACCAACCGTTTTTCTAGCCAGCCGAACAGAGCCGCTGCTGTGAAAACCAAATCAGGATGGATTGCAGATTCAGTTCTGCTACAGTTCATGGATTGCAGAAAATCAGCCGCTGCTACAGTTTCATGGATTGCAGAAAACCAAATCAGGATTGCAGAAAATCAGCCACTGCTAGAGCTTCATGGACCAGCCTGTTCGGCAGGCTGGGCTTGCTCGTATACGATCGTAAATTTCCAGCCGGAACAGTATTTTTCTCTTACACCAAACCAGCCAACGGTAAATAATCAACGATCGTTTACGGCCTGCCGAACAGGCTTGTCAAGGTCGCATCATCAGAAACAAATCAGGATTGCAGATTCAGTTCTGCACTGCATCTACCAAAGGACCCAAAGCTAGTAGTAACAAGTTTAGCCCTCTTCTGTGATAATCAAGGCCAGGCATAATTTGAGTTCTTGTATAACAAATCAGTAAAAGGAGAGTTCGTCAGCTGGGACAACAAATTTGGCCTATATCTGTCAACATCACTATGATCAAACACTAGGGTACATGTGAATTGATTCTCTTGATTTGAAAATCTCGGGAAATTGTACAGTATGCCTCCAAATGGATTTGCCGGCAATGAACAAGTTCTGTATAGGTTACAGTGATGATAAACTAAGCTGCAGAAACTAGTCAGCATAGGATGTCAGGATCTACGAGTAGATTTTCCATATCCCCAGTCCATAACCTACTTTGATCAGCAGGAGCTCGAATACCATGTGCATGATGCTTGTCATGCGGACTTTGGAACCAGGTATCTCGGTCCAATTAACAGATACTTCTATCATTGGGATCCAGAGGCGCTTGCACAGGTATACAAGCTCAACATCAAAACACCACCTGCCCACGCAAAGAAAGGCAAGTTGTAATAACCATCCATACTACGATGCGTAGAAAGCAGATTTGGTAAACAGCATCACTAGACTTCAAAGAAGATAAAGAGAGCAGAAAAGAATACCTCTTCAATCTGATATTTGTGAAAAGTTTCCTTGCAGCTGCTCGTGTGAACATCTTAAACCCACACTGGAATTGGTAACAATAAATGAGACCGTGAACATTGTCATTAAAAAAACACATGTAATGTCAGTGGCGCTTGTTTATTACAAGAACTTATATGGTTGAAACAGAATACCTGTGTATCTTTAATCCCAGGACCAGCAGTCAACAAAACTACCAAATGGAAACCTTTCATAAGAAAGTTTCTATACCATTTCCTCTGCAATAAAGCAGGATAAGAATGAGCAAAATACAAGGTGAAAACTTAGTAGAAAACCAAAAGACTGAGGGTAGTGAGCAGTAAAGAGAATTACTGTTGCAAGAGCCTGCTTCTCTAGATGAGCTCGGGAACCAAAAACAGCAATTTCAACATCAGATAGATTATGAGATGAACTAGTAGATGTTCCTGGGCTAGACTTAGCTTTCTTAGCCAATGCATGAACCTAAGTGCGAAAAAGATAAGTTCCAAAAAAAACTAATTCAATACCAACCAAATTAACTTCCAAAACTTGATGTTTGATTTATCTTATGACGGAGACAGACCTGAGCTTCAAGCTTTTCCAAATCAGTCACTTTAGTTGCACCATCAGCATCAAGCATGAGTAATAGTTCACCACGTGAATGTAGCATTCCCTATTAGACCATGCTTCCACAAAAAAAAAAGGAAAGCACCAATTAGTTTAAATTTGAAACCTAAGCCCTAAGGTATATCTAGGGATTTCAACACTCACTTTTCGGACTGCTTCACCTTTCCCATGATTTCTCCCAAGTAGAAGAACTCTAACATTATCAATCTTGTGTTGCTTTACAAAACCGAAAGCAACTTTAGAGGTCCGGTCAGTGCTACCATCATCAACAATCAAGACCTTGACAGAATTGGTTAAATTCCGAAATTAGCTAGGTTAATACAGGTTTCAATAAACAAAAGGCTCTGCACTAAAATGCTCATAGTTTGCCTGCGCCCTGCAAGCTGCAAAGGGGATTGCAAATTGCGAATAACAAGCTAGATTTCCACATACCTCGTAGGAAAAGGACTTGTCAGCAGTTGATCGCCGCTTCAAGTAGCTATTATAGAGAGGAAACAACAAAGTAATCAATATAACAATTAACCACTAGCTGCTAAGGAAATTACCAGTATAGATTTCAAGGCACAGTTCAAAGTTCAAAGATAAATATAGCATTGAGCTGGAGTAGATGCTCGGGGAGTCGATGCTTACTTGAGTGTTTCTGTAAGAGCCTCGGGGAGTCGATGCTCCTCGTTGTAGGCAGGAACTATCAACGAAATATATTTCTCAGGAGGATCAAAAACCGACGGACAGGGAACCTATATAACAGTCAGTTCAGACAAGCAAATCAGCAAACACCTAGCGTGCACACCATGCAACAGCACGGGACGAACACTGCAAGAGCAATCAGTACACTACCTTCTTCAGCGAGTTGGGGTCCTCGAAGAAGGCGTCCGAGACGGCGGACCTCTCCAGCCTGCGGCCGAGATCCAGAACATCGCAGCAGTCAACACGGCAAGCAGATCGCGGGGGAAACGAAGAGGATGAGACGGGAACACGGAAGCTGACTTACGAGTGCATGCATCCGATCTTGCGGATGTGCTCGAAGAAGACGGCCGCTGCGCCCAGCACCAGGATGGACACCTGCGCAAAACACGGAGAGATGGCGTGAGCGCCGCGGCGAGGAGGAAGCAGGGACGGAGGAGCAGGGTTTGGGGGTCAAAGGGGAGGGCGGTACGAGGGTGGCGAGGAGGAGGGTCAGCGAGAGGGAGGCCGGGAGAAGGCCGGCGACGGCGGAGAGAGGCCATGCGGCGGCCATCATCGCGGTCCCGACGGCCGGCCGGTGCCGAGTCCACCCGCTGCTATGCTCTTCGAGTGGGCTTTCTGGTGGGAGATCTGCACGCCGAAGACGTATAGGGTTAGACTGCGGGCCGGCCACGTTGCACATTTGGCATTTGCACTTGCAGGGTTTTCTGTTTTAGGCCATGTTTAGAATTTTTATTAAAAAACACGTATTTTTTAATCCTGCATTTCTTTTTGAAAATTTTGTATTAGAGCATCTCCGAGAGTCTCTTTTAAACTCGCTCTTTAAATTATCATGCGGAGAATCATTTAAATAAATATTATTCAGTCTAAAGAGTTAGCCCGCTCTTTATTTTTAGCTAGTGAGAAATTTGGAATAGAGAATGGTTATATTTAGAGATGTAGTTAAAGAAGTTGTTGAAGGATATTTGTTCGTCAAAATCTTTATCACTATCAATTAGAAAGTATATAAAGAGGCTATTGAATATGCTCTTAGTGTTGCAAAATTCTTACATTCTAAACAGAGTTTTAGTGTTTTCTACATTGTGTATGTTGCAACAAATATATCCCTTTACTTTTTAGTGCTTTGTATGCCATAATTTTTGCAGCAAATATGGCCTTGCTGTTAGGTAGCATCACAACAACAAAAAACTTCGAAGTTAAAAATTTTATATGTGATTGTAGTATTCTAATCGATGATAATTTTCTTGTCGTTGCTAAACATGCATGTTTGCAAGCTTGCAGCTCACCTAAGCTAGTATGAGGAAATGCAGCACCAAACTTTTGCCAAGTAAATATTGAAAAACACATGGAGCTGACACGGTGCTTTCTTTTGGCTCTCTTGAGGTGCAATCAAAATCAGAAAAAGTTGCGACATGCTAAAGATTCAGTGTTGCCATCTACGGTGATAACCAAATATACCTTTATATTGTCGGTTTCTAGTTAGAAAAGATACCAATTCAATAGTTCTTAGTATTCTTTGCATATCTTTGTATGGTTATTATCAATTACTAAAAAGGAAGAGATTAAAATATCTATTTGAGTTCTGATAGTTAAATAACAATATATGTGGACTAATGATTTCATATATAAGATGAAAAGTATAAAGCTTAGTCCATGAACCAAGGTTAAATTACATGAGCCCGTGAAGAGGATATGGCATGAAGCTTGTGATGCAAGAGCTCAACAAGTGAAGAAATGGAAGTGAAGGATGCTAAGAAGTGGAAAGGATGAAAGACAAATCCAAGGTAAAGGTATAATATACCAATATAGGCCTTTGTTTTTCATCGGCCCTAAGAGGTGATTAGAGAAGTGAAATGGCAGGGTTGTTAGAATTGATAATCATACTATAAAGAGGGCGAATCAGTTGCTAATGTGATTATATAGTGTCACTTGGTGAGATAACATTATATATGCATTAGGATCGAGTGGCCTTGTGAGAACATTTGACAAAATGTTTGAAAAATACTAACTCGGTGCTAAAGATGTTGGTCATCCTGCGGGAAAATAATTGTAGTTAGCCATTTGTAAAGGTTTGACAAAAATTCACCGAACCACGGGTGATTCGATAAAAAGGAGTGGTAATCCTTGGATTGACCTCAACATGGTCATAGGTGACTGACAACTCACCGAACCATATGGATATATCTTGGGTTTTTTCTTGTGGGTGGTACTTCATTCGACCATTACTCTTGCTTTACATTGTGCTCTTTCAATTCATAGCGTAGACATATTAGACTTGTCATCATATGAAGCAAACCTAGTTAGCCTTTACAATTATAGTGACATAGTGTAGTTCATATCTTGATACTAGATTGTACATGTGTTGATCACCATAGGCTTACAAAGACATTAGCTAGTGGTAGCTTTATTAGGCCTCATTTGTGTCTAACCTCTTCGCCTAGTTTACGTTTAAGAATTTTTAGAGTGTTTGGTTTAGAGAATCAATATATTCTAGATGAGGTGATTCATCTTGAGTTTATTCCTCAAATTTAGCAGAGTGCCTTCATTCCTCATAGTAGTACTAGCTATAAGCATATGAAGAATGAGGTAGTGATGCATCAGCTCGTTCCATTCGACAAACAAAACAAAATATTAAGGAGTGGGGTGATGATGGACTACCTCATTTCACAAACTAAACATCCTACTAATTAGACTATCCACCCTCTCTATCCATGTAAATCCTTTCACCCGTGCACAATAGAGCTTTCCAATGGTAGCTCCAACATTAAAAACAACTACTCAACAAAGAAATGTAGTAAATGTGGGGGGGCAAGGTTTCATTGTCCACCCCCCTGACTAGGATATGAATCGAAAGGTGGGATAGAAAACCATGGTTAGCCCTCCTCAATAAATATCGCCAGTAGATTTGCGTTAGCTCCTACCATGCACCAAAAGGTGTTTTTGTGGACCCCATCAACAAATGTTGCTATTAATTGCCAAAATTCAAATGGCCTTTCACCCACCCCACCCATTGACCCTCTGAAACTGCATTTAGCCCTTTAGTGGGTTTTGGTGGATTGAATGACAACATAACTAAAGGTCTAACAAGTTTGCTAAGTATTGATCAGGAAATTGAGTCTATTGCATATACTTATGGATTATGGAATGAGAAGTAACTAAAGGTTCAACAAGAAGGCAAACTTGATGATATTCCACATAATGTTTAAATCAAGGCCAAAGTTGTGTATTGCTGTGTTAGAAAATCATGGAAACAATCTAGTTCAAGAGAAAAGGACAACAATGCAAATAGAGTTAATGAAATGGCTTATATGTGTGGGATATCATAGTATCATATGAAAGCAAGCATATTTGGCAAATGGCAAATGAGACATGAGTGAATGAATTTGGATTGGTCTCAAGTAATGGCTTGCTTTTCATGAACAAGAGGAGTTTTGATAGTGAACTAGCATTGATCAAGGTTAAAGAATGAATCAAGAATGCATAAGTGAGGAAATGCCAAGCAAAGGTCAAATGACAAAGGACACAACTCATATTGAATATAAGTCGGTCTCAACATTTGTTTGCTTGTATGGATAAAGATTTGAAAAATCACTTTGCATTTGATTTGATCAAGCTAAAAGTATGAAGATAAATATTGAAGCGAGTGTTAGGAGTGTCAAGCCAAAATGAAGAGGATATAAGGAATCGTAAATTGGCTTAACCATATTGATGTTGATTCATATATGTCTCTATGTGAATCAAACTGAAGCTTGATTGATCTCAGCATTCCTATCAAGAAGATATTCAAGTAAGGATCACAATATTGAAGAAATAATTTTTCTATGGATGCTTAGTATGATGTGACTTGAGTATGGCCTGATAAGGTGAAGATAGCAAGGAAAGGGCTTCGAGGGACTAAGTGGAGGTGAAGGACAAGTGATGGCTTGAGGACCGAGGTACCATGGCTAAGGTGAAGAAGAGAGTACCTGCATTGAGTCGAGGAACTAATCAAGCTATGAGGAGTCGTATTATGTTGAGGATCAAATCATTAGTGGAAGTGACTTCAGGCCATGTATTGAACTCATATGTGTTGAAATGGTTCAAGTCACATGCTCAAGGTGAGTTTGCTCAAAGAGATGAGACAAAGGTGATTGCAACCCCTCATAAAGAGATATTGAGAAGAAATTGCATATGAAGACATTGAAGACTCAAGTGGTTGAAATGGTTATATTCTCTTGATCTTGAGTATATGTATGCCATACTATCAAGGGGGATGCAACATGAATCATTGACAAGTCTCAAGTGCTCAAACTAACCAAACCCAAGTGCTAACATGAGAGAAACACAATCACACAACACTTGCACTTGTTGGTTTTGGGGCTTGTTCTTTGTTGGGTTGGAAAGCCCTCGAAACAAGCTTTCCAGAAAGTCCAAGATCACCGAAAACGGAGTTCAAAGTAAAAAAGTTATGGCTTTTTCCGTATGATGATCTGTGCTGTCCTGAAGACCCGTGGAGGTTCCGCTCGTTTATGCGGAGGTTCCGGGGTCTGTAGGTCATAACGGCTAGTTTTTGACCTCTAATGGCTAGTTTTTGTGGGGTGAGTATATATACCCATCCCATGTCTTCTGGCCATGCTGTTGGCTCCCATTTCACTCCCAACACATTCCAAGCTATTTGTGAGCTCTCTCTAACTCCTCTCTTTGTGAGAGTGAGTAATTAGTGTGTGATTAAGTGATAGAGAGCTGATTACAGCAAACTAAACCTTGAGCACTTGTTGGGCTGCATCAAGCATTCGCTACTCTTGGAGGTGAAGCCTCCTAGACGGCTAGGCATTGCCCGGTGAGCTCCCGTGCTTGTGGTGAGCCACGGAAAAGTTTGTATTACCCAGAGATCTTAGTGGAACCCTCAAGCTCAACCTCGGTGTTACACTTGAGAAGAGGATAGGGTTGGAAGAGACCCAAAGCCTTTGTGGCTTCCTCAACAACGTGGACATAGGCAAGCTTTGGTGACGAGCTGAACCATAGGATAAATCGTGTGTCTTGTCCCTTATGTTTTGAATTACATTATTTGTGTTCTACTCGATCTACTTGGTTGTGTGTGTTTGTGAGTGCAGGAACTTCATGGACTTGCCACTGGACATCTCTAGGCACATCATCAAGAAGTTTGGTTTGAGTTTGATGTCTAGGCGTAGCAGCTGCTGAGTACTCTGTGTTGCCCAAAGGCTCCATGACATCCCCCGGAGGTTCCGTGCCCCGGAGGTTCCACGTAGTTTCCCAGAGGTTCCATGGTCTGCTAATCCGCTGCAAGTTTTATTTGTTGATAATTTTTAGAAACACCTATTGTTGGTGCGAAAAGTGACCTACAAGTAAATATTTGTAGTTTTACTGTGCGTTGTGATCGGATGTGGCCTAACACTCGATGACATAGGATTTATACTGGTTCAGACAACATGCCCTACGTCCAGTTTCAATCGGTCGGTGACTTTATTCTTGAGCCCAGGTGCTCGAAGTTTGCTGTGGGGTTACAAAAGAATAGGAATGAGAAGGGGGTGTTAGAGGTCCGGTCGGACTCTGATC